TAAGTTAACTATGTCAAAAATTATATATGAGTATATTAAAACCATGTAATATAATTATTAAATTATTGTTGAAGTAAGTACTTAAATTCTACAAATTGGACGCATAATTCAAATAATTGTACACGCAACACTTATGTACGCATAAGTTATTAAAAAAATTTACAAAGTATTTAAATTATATAAAATTTAGAATGATTTAAAGGACATTATTTCCAATAACTAAATATACTTCCAATATTCTATATAAAATTTTAAAACTTTAATTATACTCGAGTGACAGTGATATTACTCCTCCATTATTATAAATTACAAAAATTTTTTTTAATTCAATTTTTATATTTAAAATTATTGACAATTAAATGGGTTGAATTTTATTTTTAATTTTGTGAGAATAAAGCAATAATTAATTCAAAATTTAGTATTTTAAAAAACGCAATCAAACATCTTCTTTTAGTTAATTGATTTTCAAAGGAAAAAAGTAAATTATTGAATTTTTTACGATTTCAATTATGGGTTAAAATAAAAATTTGGGTAAGTTTTTCTTTTCTTTTTTTTGGAATAATTTTAATATTATTTGAATACTTGAATTACAATTCTAATCCTAAAATTGAAATCACAATAGCTTTGATAGGACAGATATCGAGAGGCTTTATTACATTATTTTGACAAATTTGAAGTTTTAAATTGCTTCTGTTCAAAATTTAAATATAACATTGTGCAAATATAGAAAATACTACCAATTCTTTTAAATATGTTTAGAATTATACATAAATCTGGAGTTTGAAGAAAAAATTTAGAAACCCAAAAGAACGTATTTTACATAAATAGAACTCAATTCATACACATACTATATTCTTTAATTCATATATTAAATTTATTGAAAAACTGCAATTTTATTGTATAAATTGTAATCGAAAAATAAATTACTAATTTTTTTAATAATAAACAATTGATTCAAATGAAATTTTAAGTACAAAGCTTCATTTTGATTTGCTCTCCTTTGTAAATTTGAGAAATGCATTAAAGCGACTATGATCCACCACTCCTCGCATGTGATAATTACAGTCAGGTGATAATTACAAGTCGAATTAATGGTAAATTTTTATTGTTAACACATTAAGGAATGTAGCCCTATGAATATTTTTTGTTCATTATTAAAATATGAATATAAAGAATAAAATAAAAAATATTTCATATTTCTGTGAATATAATTTAATTTTAATGTATTTATGGAAATTTGCACTTTCCAACACATTATTATTAATAATTACATTATTTGTTTTTTACAACTTTGTTTTCCAATTAAATTTCTGCATGATAATTAAAATTTCTCAAAATTTTTAAAAGCTTTTTTAAAATAAGAGAATCTTGTTCGCAATTGATTGCAATCAAACAGAGAAAAAAAATTAGAGTCCGATTATTTTCCTAAGATACAAATTTTATAATAAATTTCTTGCTCTGTCTCTATACTAAAGTTATTAAGGTATGCCATAAGAGTATAGTCTATAAAATCTTCACGTTTCTCAATTTACTCTAAATTTCACATCCAATTCAACCTAAATTTGAATTGGTGAATCATTGATTTTGAAATTATTAGGGCGTCTACCAAAACTGCAAAATTTTTACGTAAAATATGCAATATATTTTCGTTAAACTTTTTAGTAAACAAATATAAAATGTAGACTTATAATTCTACTTTAGTCTGCTGTGCACCCTTACTTAAGAACAAAAGATTATTTTCCACTTACATTTTGATGTTCTCTCCTATTCTTTTCCAATGCATACTGAAATTTTTGTCCGCAAAAAAACGTCAAGTTGGTACAAAGTGAATAAGTAATACATTCTTACTTTTGTTAAAAATTCAGATTGTACCAAAATTGAGAACGTCAAATTAACTGAAGATCTTTTATTTTGATAGACGGGGTTATTCTAATAATGGTTTCAAATTTGATTAAAAATAAATTTCCAGAAATAATTTTGAAAATTTATTTTCAAGTGTTCTACTTTTAAAGATAAAAAATAATTTTTTTTTTGCTCCAATTTAAATCAAATTATTGAGAATTTTATAATAATCAGAAAAATAATCACAATAGTATTCATATTCAAATTCTATATCTGTCAGGTTTGATTTGGCAGTAAATATGTACTTACATATATGCGAATTACTATAATCAAAAGTAATTTTTTAAAGTGTTTAGTTAGAACAATGTTTTATCTACAATTTAGGACGTAAAAAAACACGTACCTGATTATAAAGTACTAAACACTTACAGTTTAGAATTATGCCCTTAGTTTACCACCATGATACTGTTTCTATTTTAAAGAGTCTAGAAGTATTATAAACAGGCGCACAAACGGATATAATGACAGAGTGAGATTTGGCTTGTATGTACATAAAGATGTGCATATTATTTGCACAAATATATTATTTGCATTTTATCAATATTTAGTTGTATAGGAAATTGAAAACAGACAAGCTTGGTTTTAATCGTTTTAATCGTTTTATTCCTTTGTTTTGTACCTCTTCTAAACCATACAAACAAATCTAACAAATAAAAAGTACCATTTGTTACAATTTCAGTATTTGATTTAAAAAACTAAACATTAGATGAATTTTTCTTTGGAATTTTATATGAACTGCACCAAATAAATGATTTATATGAACTAAAAAAAATAAAAAAACATCAAAAATTTTTTTTTTAATTTTAAAACCCCTTTTGTTTCTACAATGTTCTGTCTTCTGTCGAATATAAAAACCAGTTCACTGCCATTAAAGAAGAGAAAAAAAATCCCTCGTATAGCCTTGAAATAAAAAAAAAATATTAAAAGAATAAAAATTTTAACCACCAACACACACGTTAGGTTTTTTATCTTAATTTTTTTTTTTTTGTACTACGAGAACATTTAAACATCATCCGAACAATTCAAGCCAATTTAAACACACACTTACTTAAACTTTTTAAAGATAAAAAAAATGTGAATGCATTTTTAAGTACATCTGCACTTTGAAGTAAAAATACATACGCATAATGTTTGTACATATGTACATATATCGAGTTTTATAAAATTGAACTAGATTTTATGTAACCTGATTTTAAAAGGTTAATATTATATTGTAATTGAAGGATAAAGGAATTAAGTAAACAATCACGAAATTGTTGATTAAATTCATATATGGTGCATTTTAGTTCCAATTAATTTTGACATTTTTAGTAAAATATTAATTTAAATAAACATTGTAAACTTGAATTGATAATATGTGAATCATTAAAAATTTGTCTGGCTTTTCAGAATCTTATGAAATGAAAACAGCAATTTTAATTATAGAGTATTTGATCTAGCTTAGAATAAACAAAAATTATTAAATTGTGGAAGCCGAACAAACTTATAATTCGATAAAATTTTTCTATTTAGGGTTTCAACGTCTTATAAAAACCCATAATTATTCTTGAAATACCAATTATCACTTGTAATTGTGCAATGCTTATATTTGAAAAAAAAATTTTCCATTATCGTTACTTTGTATTTTATATACAATACTTACGTCACAAATTATCTCACTACTTAGATTAATTACAAATATAATCTCATAAATATTATTCATTACTACATCAAAATGTTATAAAATGATTAAGGACAACATTATACCCATTTAAATACTCCTTAATCTATAATAGATATTACGAGTATTAAAAATCTACTTCTCTTATTTTATTATATTTTTATTAAAAATTGGACAAGGTAATTAATTTTATTTTAAATTATTTTCTTGTTCAACCAAAATTTAGTAAGTAAGCATCGCATTTATTATATTGCACTTAAATTTTTTCATGTACATACAGACCTAAAGAATAAGAAAAAAAACGTCAACAATAAATTTTGTTAAATAAATAAATAAATAAGGAATTTAAGTAGAATCTGCTAATATAGGCTTTTTGAGTGGAAATAAAAAACACTGTACAAAAACAGAATTAAACCGGATTTTTAAATTATACAACCATCGGAAATACTTAAAAATTTAAACTTTAAACTTTAAAACTTTAAATTTTACTATTATTAAATTTAACTACCAAAATTGTAAATAAGTTGTTTTGTTTTTGCTTTTTATTTTAATAATAATTTAATTTAAATTAATTACATATTTTCATTTAATTTGGTAAATTTTAATTATTTAATAAAACGCATAATTATATAATTTACTCTTATCTTGATAATTAAGAAATATATAAAAAAATAATTTCCAAAAATTCCAAGTGCAATTTAATTGAAATTACGCAGATTTCTGTTCTGGCAAATTCTTTTTAGTGTGACCATGGAATTTTTTCTAGTTTTACTTTAATACCCCAAAATTCCTATTCATTGTACTCTTATCTTAAAATTTTAAATTATATTAGTGCTAACATTGAACACAATATATAATGGAAATTAGTTATATTTTTAGTTACATTACAATAATTACTTCATATTAGTTACACTAGTTACATTTTATTTAGTCATATTTTGTACGATTACATAAGAGAAAAATTTCATACGCCCTCCTATGTTAAACTTGAATTTCTAGTAATTTGATTACCAAAAAAATTGGGGGTAGATGTCGCGACACAAACATTTAGTCGTAGACAAAACTGACTTAAGTGCAAGTTTGAAGCTATTATTGCAATTTTTATTCCAAGGATTTTTGAATTTTTTATAACAGAAATGTTTTGGAATAATTTACTAATTAAAATGTACAATGGTATTTATTTTAATATTTATTAAAAATTTAATTGCATTTTCTCTTAAACTTTAAAATAAAAAAATTCATTTCCCCCTAACCTTAACCAACAACCATATACTCGTATTATGTAATGTAAAAATTAAATCAATAAATTTTTTACTATAAAATGTAAAATGTGAACTTATATTTCAAGGTTGTCTTCCTATTATCTCTACTTTTTTTTTATTATAAAATTTTAAATTTACGCTCTAATACAACAATTTTTTCTATATTTTTATTTCAGATATTCCACCTACGTGATGTTAGATGGGAGAAATCACAATTTTTATCAAAAAGTTTTCTTGGATTTTTAGCATTTAATCTTTTTCTGTATAGTCTTTTTGGTGCCGAAGTATTCTCATCGCTTCTTTTACCAGAGAAACATCAAACATATGCACATATATTTAATGGATTTTATGCAGCACTTTTACTTATTGTTGTTGTATTCTTTTTAATTTATGGCGTTGAAGTATTCTTTAAATTACGTGGCGGTTTTATATACGATCAAACTGGAAAACTTTTAAGACCCGGAGATACAATTGTAAATGCATCACAATTACATCAATCACGTCTTGGTCTATTAAGTCAAGCAATTATGCTAATAATTATAGTTGGATTTTTAACATCGGAAACATTAGGAGATTTTTGGAAAAAAAAGTAATTTTTATAAAATAAATACATACATTATTTTACACTTTATTGCATTTCGATATGGTTGATAAATTTTGATAATAATTTTTAATATTTTGTTTTTTTTTTTGTTCATTTTCTATTGTAGGGTACCAGTATATTCACGTAATTGGCATGATATTGTCTTCCGTTTAGTTGAAATTGGTGTTGCATTGTGGTTTCCTTGTTGTTTATGGAATTCTATGGCGCCAGAACAATTATGGATATTAAATCCAAGAAAATTATTAAGTCGTCAAATTGATCCAAGTATACCAACAACATCAAGTGAAACAAAAACTTTATCACCGGAAGAAGGTCAATCATTTTTAACAAAAAAAGACTGTTGGATTTGTTATGATTCAGATAAAATTGAACCACTGATACAACCATGTAAATGTACTGGTGATGTTAGTTCAGTACATCATGAATGTTTAAGACGATGGTTAGTTGAAAGTTGTAGTACATCAGATCAAGTTCTATCTTGTAAAGTTTGTGGATCACCATACGAAATTGAAAGAGCGAAAAAGTAAATTGATTCTAATATTAATTAATTAAAAAATATATATATATTTAATAAAAACTTTTTTTATATTTTAGACTCGATTGGGAAAAAGGATTTACAGTACAACATTGGGCAAAAACAATAATATTAGTAACATTAATGTGTATTGCTGGTGCATGTGCATGGATGGTAATACAATTATACAACGATCCAATGATACGAATATTAACAATTGGTACTGCTGTACTTATCGGTTATGTTTGTATTAAATTATTAGGCGAAAATACTGTTGTCGCCTATCAAAGGGCCAAAGTTAGTTCAATTAATATTGTCACAAATGTAGAAGCAACAGAAAAATTACACACCATATGTGAAGATGTCGGTTGATAACAAATTATCATAATATAAAATTCAATAAATATTATATAGTAATCAATGATAATGAAAGCAAAAAATGTTAATTATTAAAATAATTATCATATTTAATTTAAATTAAAAATTTATAAATATTAAATTCAATTTTAAATATATGCGAAATAATAATATAAAAAGAAATTAATAATTATAACGACGATTCAAACAAAAAAAAATATAGAGTGCGCTCTCCGATCTTACTAAAAATGAATCCAAAATTTAATTAATGGTAATATTTAATTATTATTTAAAAATTCTTATAATCCAACTTTAAACTTTTAAAAAGCAATTTTGAACAAAAAGAAAAAGCGTACTCTTTGCATTAATAAGTAAGAAGAAAACATAGTTAAGAAATGAAAATTAAAAAATTCAAAGAATGCAGTAATTTTGCTTTAGAAAATTTAAAGATTAATTTACAGATATAACTGAACTACTGGATTTCAGGATTTAAAAATAAATTAACAAAAAAACCTCTAAATATTGTAACTGCGTTCGCAAAGAATAGCAAAACTGCAAGTTTTATAAAATAATGGAAAAGAAATTTACAATTTTCAAAACACTTTTCATACATTATCATCCTTTTATATGCAAAAACATTTTTTTGAATACAAGCAAACAAAATTGGTAATCAAAACTATTGCAAATATTGACTTTAACCACCGATGAACTTAAAATGACGGTTAAAAAAGATTTACGACTAAATTTTCTAGACATAAGTTATTTATAAAAGTTTAATTAATACTTACTACATATACGATTAAAGACAATTTCGAATATCATGGAAGATACTTTACTATTTATACTTTACTATTACTGCAATTAATTTGAAATATACAAGAAAAACAATCATTGATTTATTTGTATTTAATCTTTTTTTTTTTGTTATAATATCATCATTCAAGCACACTGCATTTTTTGAATAGAAATTTTAACATTAATTAATTTAACAATAAATTGATAAGAATTACAATTAAATAAAATTTTAATTTAAAGTTGGAAATAAATATTGTTGGAAATGTAAGTAAAACAAGCATATATTGGCATAATTTATAAATTAAATTTAAATTAAAGAAATCAAAAATAATTTTACTTAGATCTATTCTATAAAATTATTATTGAATTATAATATTACTAACCATCTTCTTTGAAAATATTAAAATTTTATTTTTCTAAAAAAAACAGAATAGAAAAAATTATATTGTTAGTAATTATGTAGTAAAAATAAAATATATTAACATTTAATAAACATAATTAAAGAAAGAGCTCAATTTTAAAATTAAATACAAAAAAAAAGAATTATTTTATTATACATTATTAATTGATGAAAACGACTTTGAAATTGATTTTAAAAATGGAAAAATTTAAGGATTCTTTTTATTATTATTTGAATAAAATGCGGATTCTGTTTTGCAATGTATACATTATATTTTAAAATTGAATATTGAAATAAGAATATAATAAACATAAGATGGGATAAGAGCAATAGTAACCTAATCAGTAATTTTTGTTATAATTTTTGTATTATAAAACATATTGTTACATTTTACAATATAAACCTGTATTAATAATCACAAGGATACTGTTCCACAATATTTGGAACCATAGTTTAACTTACAAAAATATGTTTTACGACATAAAAACCACTTTGAAAAATGCTCTGGTTAGGCTACTTTTGCTTTCACCGCTTTAATAAAATATTACCCACCAAATTTGTAATAATTATAAAAGATCAAATCAAAGGCTTCTTTCTTGAAATCTTTTCTTTTCATTGTTATGCAGTTTTGTGAATTTTGTTTTAAAAATTTTATAGTTCAATATTATTAAAATTCCAATTCGAAAGCTACTGTACAATAAATTATCTCATTTTTTTGTTAAATTTGATAAAATTTTCAAATATTTTCATACATTATTGCGTTTTCAAACAAAAAAAAAAATTACCAATTTCAGAGAATCCTTAATTTTTTTCCATTTTCAAAATTTATATTTAATGCTCTTATACAATTAATTAATTCTAATTAATTTAGTTAATCAATCTTGAATGTAAATTAAAAATACATAATTTAATAATAATGGTATGTAAAACAAGAAACGTAAAGAGAAATTATTAATTCAAAAAAATTTTAAAATTAAAAACAACCAAAAATACAAAAAATTTAATAGAATTTTTAATAATTCTAATTCCGAAATAGAAAAAAGAGAAACTGGAAAACACAAGTTTTCATCTAAATATTTTCCTCCTCACTAGCAACAGTGAATTAATTATATACAATTAAATGAAAGCCTCATATTGAAAATAAACATTACTAAATATGATAAGAAGAAAATTTTTAATAAAAACAAAAACTAAATATTAATATTTTATCTCACCTTAATATAAACAAAAAAAGTGGAAAAAAAATACAAAAATAATATTTACATCATTAGAAGTTTCCATTATAATTTCGCGAAAGTAATTAAGCATAAATAATAAATATAAGATGTAGAACAAAAAAAATGCATATTTTATATTAGAAATTATTAAGATTAAAAGAAGAGTGTCGATTATATAATAATATAATATTAATAGCTTTTAATACAAACCCAGTAAAAAAAATAAACAAACGAAATTAAATACAAAATTATTATGATTTATTAAAATATTAAAGAGTAAAACTTTTACTCAAAAAGTTCAGAGTGATTTATTAATTATAATTTTAAATAAAAAGCTTATCAAAAATTTATAAAACTCAAATTAAAATTATTAGTAAAATTTGTTTTTCTCTCAACTGCTAATCATAATTTATATTAAATTTTTTATAAACTAAACATGTTAATGAAATTCAGTTCAATAATCATCAATAGTTTTGATTTTTCAAACAAGCAAATTTATCAAATTTTAACGTTGAAAAATTTGATTTGAATTTCCAAAATAATTTTCATTTTCATTATATTTTTTACAAAAGGCGATATATTAAGTAAAAATAAAATTCAATAAACACTAATTACTCTAAAAATTTATTATAAAACAAGAAATAAAAAATAAAAATTATTAATTAATCATTAATATTGTAGTATATATTGTAGAATAATAAGTTATAATTATTAATAATTTAATTTTAATATTTAAGTAATTTTAGAATTAAAAAATAATTTTTAAATAATGAAAATTAATGTTAATTTTAATATATATATATAAATAATAAGAACAAATACATAAATAAATAAATAAATAAAAAAAAAAAAACAAAATGAAAAACGGAGAAATTATTAACTTTTTTTTTTAATAAAAATATAATTATACAAAAGAAAAAAAAAACAATTTTTTTGTAATTGTGATATTACTAGATTTAAAAGTAAATAAAAATTTTAAACAGAAATAAGAATATTAAATTATAAAACATTATCATTTATATAAATAATTAAAACCAGATAATTACAAATATCAAAATCATATATTAAAATATTTTGTTTTTGAAAAAACAATCATTTACTAAATTTTTGCCATACCAAAAGAAATGAATAAATTTTTAACAAATAATTAATTAAAATATGCTCATTTTAAATAAAAATATTTGCAATATCTAGAAAAAATTTTAATGGTAAAATTTTAATGCCATAATTTTTAAAATTGATTTAAAACAGTAAAAATAATTGTTATTTCAGAAATTGGGACCTTATTTTTTAAAAGCATTCATGTATAAAAACAATAACATTTTTATTACTTCAAAATTATTTGAATTTAAATTTGTTGTTAATTAAAATTTTAATAATTCATTCATATAAAACTTCATTAAATTTAAAAAAATCAAAAAAAAATTTGATAATTTTTTTAGAAGGTTTTAATTATAAAAATAATATGAAAACTGCATAACTATAGCAAATAACAAACAATATACAAAATTCAAATATTTCATGTGTTGTGTATTTTGTTTTAGAAATTTGATTTTATTTAATTTTTTTTTTGTTTTATAATTTTATTACCAATTTTTTTTTTTTAATTTAGAGTTTGTATAATTTTACAAAAAAAAATTTGAATAATTATTAAGATTAATATATTAATAATTAAAAATAATATTTATTTTTGTTTTAATTTTCTTTTAATATATTTTCAGTTTTGGTACAAATAATTATTTTATTTCATTTGGAAAATGCTAAAGAGATGTATTTTTTTAATATGGATTGTTATGAATTTAAGAAAGTTTAAGCAATTGTCATATTAATAAATTAATATAACTTATAATATTAACTTCTCTGTTTCTTTAATATTAATTTATCTATTAAATAGAATTTATATTAACTTCGCTATTAAATTTCTCTGTTAATAAATTGAAAATCAACCATACTTTTCTCGATTAAAATTATTTAATATTATTCTCGATTCATATACACCATATTGTCTTGGACGGATTATTATTCAAAACCAGTGCTATTTCAAATTTCGAAAAAGATTTTAATAATATAATTCCAAGTGATGCGTCTAAGAGAATATAGATGATAATTTTTCATTTAAACTCTGTATTTAATTATTTTTTTAAATTTTTATTTGTAAATTAACAATATCTTATAAAAAACCTGTTTTTGTTAATTTGCATTTTTGAATTTACTGTGAGAAGTTCATTATTTGACTTTTGCGTTTTCCAATAATCTCTCATTAATATTAATCTTAATTTTCTCGAAAAACTGATAAATTATTTTAGTCTTTTAAAAAAAACAAAATTCCTAAAACAGTTTCATTAAATTTTAAATATATTGCAAAATAAAGGTAAGTCTTTTTTCAAAGACAAATTTAATAAATAAAAAATTATTAAAATTAAGAATAAGGAATACAATTTATTCTTTTTTTCTTAATTTTTATGTAATATAATAAAAATAAAAGAAATAAATTTATAATTCAATTAAAAAAATATTAATATCAAGAAATCTATGAAATGATAATTGATAATATTATAAGTGAATTTTCGCTCTTAAAAATTTAAAAAGCAATATTTTTTTGTATTAAAAATATTTAATTTAAATTTAATATTTTATGATAGTTTTTTTTTATTATTACGAGATTATGCAAAGGAAAAGTACAATGCATGTTCTTATTGCTCTAAAATGTTTTAAATTATATACTGAAAAAAAAAATATTAAATAATGTAAAGCAGATAGAAATTAAAGTTCAAATTAGTATTGAAGAATCAAAAGTATAAATATGTATAAGTCATAAATTTTAAAAATATACATAGTATATGGTATAAGAAAGTAAACTGCAAGAGCTGAATCTAATAACAAAATGAATCCAATGAATGCTTTCTTTTGAACAATAAAATTAACTATAATATTTTTTTAATTTATTTAATTTGGAATTAATAATGGAATTAATAAAATACATTTAACTTTAGCTCTGTAATTTAAATTATTATTTGATTTGGTAGAAAATGGAGTGAATACCCAAATCAAATTACATAAATGAATGATGAATTCATCTCCTGTCAAATACAGGTATGTAGTAGTAGCAGTTTGAATTCAAGTCAAATAAGAATACTTTCATAGGTAAGCATATATTAAAAACTTTTATGCGTTTTTTTAAATTAATAGACCTTTTCATAAGCACAGAAGAGTTATTATTTTTGACTTTTAAATATATGAAAAAACACTTTACTTACCTGGCTGGTATATTAGTTATCGGCAAATAAAAAAAATATTAGCAAACACTTATAATAAAACAAACTAAAATTTGAACAGCTCTTGCAGTATTGGAAAGAAACACGTTTTTTGTTGGGTTCTTAAAGAGCTCTATTTCAAAGAAAAAAAAACAAAAGTTTTCAATGTAACTTTTAATAATTATAAATAAATTTTAAATAAGCCAGTGAGCTATGAAAATTTGAATTTATTCTAGTCTAGATTCAAAAATAAAAATTTTTCTCTTGTAGTGTGGTTTTCATAATTTATATGCAAAAGAAAAGTTTGTTCAACAATATGTTGCTAAGTTCAAGAAATATTGAGCAACATTTTCTAATGATAAAATATTGCATATTCAGGAATATTATGGAAACAAAACTCGAACATCTTTTACAAAAGTATTTTCAGAAATTGTTGCATATATTTAGGAGTACAATATCCTCAAAATATAGTAAAATTTAAAATTAAATTTTATACCGTTAAATATATGTGATTCTTTTTCTTTTAAATTAAATATTGTGTCAAATAAATAACAGTTCCATTAATTATTTTACAGATTTTAATCAAATTTTTGTACTCAACTGAAAATTGAAACTTTGAATTTTTGCATAAATATAAAAACTACGAGTTTTTTATATTAATAAATATTCAAAGTAAAGAATAAAAGGAATCTTATTTAATTTTCCCTTTTTAAAAATCATAAAGTAGCAAGTAAGATTTATAATACACTACTTACTACAATAATACAAGTTTAGAGATTACTACAATAATACCGTGGGTACTGCAATTTTGAAGTCTAGGAATTTGTGTACACTGTACCCGACATAATTTCTTTAATTCATAATCAATAACAAGCCCGTTCTGGTAACTAATTTTTTTAGTAGACATTCATTTTACATTAATCATTAAAAAAATTAATTAATACCAGAAAATTTTAAATAAAACTTATTAACAAAAAAATCAAATAATACCAATTTTTGCTTATTTTAATACAAAACATTTAACATATTTATGTACTCCTGTGTCCAATGAAAACCACATTCATATACTCGTATGCAAAGGAGAAAAAATTTTATAAAACCTCAAATTTATTTATTCGCGCGTACAATAAAACAAAAGAATATTTAAGAAAGTAGAAAAATTAAACTTTTTTTATAAATACAAAAATAATCGCTCAATTTCTAAAAAAAAAAAATTTAAAACAAAACGCAATTTAAATTTTAAAAAAAAAATAAAATGCAGACAATGAAAATTTAATATAATTTTTTTTAAAATTGAATGAAAAATTCAATGAAAACATAAGAAAAGAGTAAAATGAAGAAAGAAAAACTGATATCAAAAAATGTGATTTGAATAATAAAATATTTTTCCTTATTGTAAACTATAAAACATAAAGAAATTGTATTGTGGAAAGAAAACCAAAAAAGAAAAAATAAAAGAAAAATTAAATTTATTTTTTAAAACCATTTAAAAAGAAAGAGAATAAAATTTGAAAATATTTTCATTTTATGCGATTTCATATACTCAAAAGAAAAGAAAAATAAAAATATTAATCTATGGCAAAAATGAAAAACCAAAAAATATTTCAATAAAATATAAAAAAAATGCGCAAAATAATAAGGATTCAAAAATGATTAAAATAAAATTAAAGGAAAAAAAAGAAAGAAAAAAAATATTTATTCTATTTTATGGAAAATATGAAAATAATGAAAAAGTATTAAAAATTTTTAGATTTAAACATAATAATAATATAAATATATATATGTAGATTAAGAATATAATTATATATACATATACATATACATATAAATATGTACCATATATATTTAAAAAAAAAATAATAATAATAAATACAAAAATCTTTTTAAGTACGAGAAGAATATCATTTTGGTTTTTTCTCTACAATTTCTTAGAAATTACCTATATTAATATTAACTGCCCTTTAAAATGATGTTATATTGTTATTAGTATTGAGAACAAGAATAAGATTATTGATTAAATTCCATTATTTGTATGTGAATCTTCACAATTCAATTGTTATTTGAAATAGATCCATAGTATCACACTATTCTGAGTAAGTTTCCCTGAAAGCATTGAGATTTTTCTGTATTCTATAATTTTATGCATGAGAACACCAAACCGGTATAATGACACCAGTATATGGGATCATAACATCAAATTTTGTTTAAACAATTATAAGATCTTACACTTATGTTTCTATCTTTCGAATTTTATTAATATTTAATCCAATATTTAATAAAAATTTGATATATATCATAATTATAAATAAATAATAAGAAAAAAATAACAATTATAATAATATATAAATATAAATATTTAGTGTACTAGAGATTTACCTATCTGTAGGTTTATTTTAGAAGAAATGCATTTCTTCATATTAGAAAAAGCTGTGATAAATTATAATATGTATTAAATAAACTTTGAGTCTGTGCTGTCCTTCATTTAATACTGCCATATAATTTCAAAAAAAAAAAAAAATATAAATTTATTGTCTACAATTTTATACTTTCGCGATTCGATAAATTTGTTAGGTCTTTAGTGTATATCATGGATTTTTGTAACGAATCGAATTGACATTTTTAATAATATGAGAATCAGACGGAAGTTGTTGATACTTTTTAGAGAAATCAGAGGTATCAACAGTCAGAGCTTCCCAAGAAAATAGTTGACAATAGATTTACTTGAAATTAACTAATTAATTTTTGGTGAATATCAGAGTTATGAGAAATTAAATTTTCACTAGGAGTCGCTTTTATCATTTTCACGCCAACAATATTTTTCGAAATTTCACATTTGAGGTTTGCTTGTTAATTATTTATTATTATTTATTTATTTACTTTTTTATTTTAAATAATTAAAAATTTTATTCATACAAGGCCCTTCAATTATGTAAATTGGCCCCTTTTAAAAATTATATGCATATGTGAACATGAATGCTTACTTTTTTATTAAGTGAGTGTTTGTGTTTCTTAAATATTAAAATTTATTCATAAATAATTACAATTGCTATATTATAATATGTATTTAAGTAAAAATGTTTGACAGTTTCAAATAAATTATTATTTATAATTTGAAATTCTCATCATCAATTTACTTAATTCATACATACATACATATAGAAATATAGGATTATTTTCTCAAAACTGAAATTTCTTTTTGCAAAAATTTTATTTCTCACACAATATCATAATTAAAAGACAAGTGCACCCACCACCTAACACTTGTTTAACATATTGACGTATAATTGTAAATTTAGTACTATTGTGAATTAATTTCTATTATTTACAATAAAAAATTTATATTTCATATATGTAATTAAATTTTTTTTATTATTTTCTAATTTATGCATTAAATTAAATTTATAATTTTACATGATTTATAATGATTTGTTTTTAATTTAATTTCACAAAAAAACAGAGAAAAATCATTTAACTTTCATTCAAATAACAAAGTAGAAATAATTAACATATATTCGACTTCAAAATTACTATTACACACTACTTGCAATGCAATGCATAATTTACACACCAGATGGAATTAATTTTCAACCATCATCTGCATATACATATAATTAGAGTGTGTGTTGCAGTGTGCGAATTAATAGTGCAAATTTTTTTGTGTAAAATTTCTTTTTTGTTTTTAATTTCTGAAATTTAAATGTTATTTTTTTTTTTTTAAAACTTTAATTAAATATTTTGAACATATATAGAATTATAATATAATTATAATAAGAAAGAGAGAAGAAAAAAAATCGAAATATTTTAAAACCATAAAAAACAAACTTAAAAAACAAATACATTCCATACTTAATACAACAACAAAAAATAAAATAATAAAAAACAAAAATAAACAACAAAAAAAGTCATACACCACCATAAATGGGAATAATTTTTCCACTATTTTCATTCCATTTAAAATTCATTTGACTTTGTTTTGTTAATTTTCGTTTTTTTTTTGTTGTTGTTGTTGTGTGTGTGTTTTCTCCACAATTATTTATATAAACAGATTTTCTTTTTCTTTTTTTTTTGTAAAATAAATATTTTCCATGCCAAATTTTAAAATT